GAAATCTAGAAGAGAAGCAAATCCAGGAGCACTTGACAGCAGAGCTACCGTCACTCCGCCTCCAACCGTGCCCTGTAGCCCCGAGTGCACGCAGTCCTCAGGTCGGCGATGTGCGTCATCCCACACCCGCTCTGGCGGCCAGCCCCTGGAGGTCACCCTCAGCTGCCTGCTTCCGGCCTCATAATAGGATGAAGTGTGCAGCTGGGCACCCGAAGCCGGGAAGGTGAGCTGCCAGGCAGGGAGGGATATTAACCTCAGATCCAGCGGGGCCACTGGCTGCTGATTTATTGATTGTCTAGAAATAACAGCCTGATCTGGTACCGGCCAACCAGCGGGCAGGTAGTAGTTAGTCACTTGTCTGCTTTTCCTCTCCCTTTCCCGTACAGTCTGGTTTTGGGCCTTGCTGCCTTTGTTACTAGATTGCTTTGAAAGTGCATTTGTCTCCCTGCTGTGTTCCCTGGGCAGCTGTGGGCGGGCTGTCTGGGAGGCTGAGGGTGGCAGAATGGTCCCAGAAGGGCCGTGGTGGAAAGACATCTCACTGGCCCTAGCACAGCAGCGGCCATGCCGTGAGTCCGGAGACCCCAGCCCAGGCTTGTTAGTTAGAGAATGGGCTTCCCTCCTGGCCACCCCAGGGTGTGCTTTGACTGTAGAAGCAGGGGGTTTAGGGGGAGGCACGTGTACTCTGGGCTGGGGTTCTTGGATGCCTACGTAGGCCTCGTAAAAGGGGGAAAGACTCCCCTTTGCAGGGGGGACCAGGACTCTTGGAGTACCATGTGGGGAGACTCCCAGGGCTGTCCCTAGAATTCAGAAGAGACTGGATTTTTAAAATTCAGGTTTTTTGAGGTGCAATATAAATGTAATAAAGTGCACATATTTTAAGTGTACAGTTCCATGAATCTTGACAAATGCATCTGCCCCTGTAGCTACCATCCAGATCAAGAACAGGGCGCTACCTTCCCTAGCACACCCTCTCCTGCCCCTCCTATGCTGTCTCTCCTCCCCGACACAGCCCTGGCCCTTCAGACCCTAGCTCTGACTGTGTCTGTGTAGATGGGCTCTGCCTGTTTTGGAGCTTCATGTGAGTAGAATCAGACAGAAGGCACTCTTCGATGTCTGCATAACGTGGGTGGTGACTGTCCCTTTGCACAGTGTGTAGCATCTGTGGTGTCCATGGCCCACCCAGACATACCTGACAGCAGGTGGTGGTTTCTAACAGACTTCAACACTGTTTGAAAGCATGATCCCTTCAACCAGTAGAAACAATATCCGTGGCCTTAAAGCTATATTTTAAGCACACTAGGAACAAGGCATGACAAAGGTGGCTGGATCGAGAAACGCTGGGCTAATGAGGAAGGTGGAAAGAGAGTCTCCAGGGACAGAAGGATCACTGGGTCAGGAGCCTTTGTTCTGCTTCCTTTCTGACTGTGACCCACCAATCAGTTCTAAGGCTTTCTCAAATGCCAGAGGGGCTAAATCGCCTCACCCCAGGCTTGTTTTGAGGATTCAGTAAGCTCAAGTGAAAGCACTTGAAATTGTGAAATGCCAAATACTGTAGTCATTGTGATTCTTATTGTTACTGTCTAGGAATCTCTGGGTTTTCAGACAGTGTTGACCCCTGTGTTCCCCTAGCCTCCCTTTGCTAGGTTTCATGTTTGACCCCATGCTGTGTCCTCTGGGTAAGGCTCGTTTCTGTCTTTTCTGATGGGCAGTTCTTCTGGAAGGGCCTCTCTTTACCTGTTGGTGTGGCTGCTTGGAGGGTGACTGTGTCTTCTTCAGGGGTGTTCTCCAGAAGGAACCCTGTGCAGACCACACATCATGTACTGAAGTCTGACAACCCCAGGAACCTTCCCAATCTAGTGCAGACATGCCTGGCCACATGGCCACACTGCTCCCAGGGCAGCGGTGGGCACACAGACAGAACCTTAACTCTGCATTGCCCTGGTAGATGCTGTGCACCCTGAGGGCAGATCTGGCAGTGATCTCAACTTCAGAATATTAGGCACACTCAGCCAGATGCCATACATACACCCTAGCCCTTGGAGGTCGGGGGGTTTGAGAGGAGATTGGGTTGAATGCTACAGGCAAGACAGAGTAGTCCAACAACATAAAAAGCTCTTGTCCATCAAAGGACATTGTGAGAAAAGTGAAAAGACAACTGACAGAATGGGAGAAATTATTTGTAAATCATCAATCTGATAAAGACCTTGTACCCAGAATATATAAAGAGCTCATACAACTCAACAACAAAAAGACAGTCCAATAAAAAATGTGCAAAAGACCTGTGCAGACTTCTCTCCAAAGAAGATAAAAAAAAACCAGCAACTGGCGTGGGAAGAGGGAAATTCAAATCAAAGCCACCCTGACCTGCCACTTAACCCCCATCAGAATGGCCAGTCTATTTTTTTTTAAGATTTATTTATTTATTTATACAAGAACCGGGGTACCGGCCAGATGTGCGGGAGGGTGAGAGGATTCACCAGAGGCAGAGCAGGGACCAGAACAGGCAGACTGACGAAATTCACTGCTGAGGGGAGCAGTGGGCGAGACAGAAGAGGTCTGCCACGCCATATGGGACCCTCGCCGACCGGCCGGGATCAAACCGGCGCTGCAGAGGCTGCAGACAACTTCACAGCACTGCGCTCAACCGCCTGCGCCACCAGGGGAGACCCAGATCAGTCTTTAAAAAGGGAAAACAGGGCCTCCCTGGTGGCGCAGCGGTTGAACGCTGGGTTGCGAAGCTGCGCGCGGCCTCTGCGGCGCCGGTTCTATCCCCGGCTGCTCCCCGGCCACCAGAGGAGGGTCCCACATGGTGCGCAGACCTCTCCTGCCGCCCGCTGCTCCCCTCAGCAGTGTGCTTCGGTCCTTCTGCCTGCTCTGCTCCCCGCTCTGGCTCTGGTGAATTCTCTCGCCCTCCCGCGCTTCTGACTGTACCCAGTGCATGTATAAACAAAACAAACAAACAAACCGGCAAACAAATAAATAAAGCATGCCTCTATAAAAAAAAAAAAAAAAAAAAAAGGGAAAACAACAAGTGTTGATGAGGACGTGGAAGGGCTGGAGCGCTTATACACTGCTACAAGGATGTGAAATGGGGCAGCCACCATGGAAAAGTCTGGCAGTTCTTCAAAAAGGTAATGCATGACCTAGCACTTCCACTCCTAGATATGCACCCAAGAGAAACGGAGACGGGTCTACACAAACACTCGCACGTTACAGCATTATCCATAATAGTCCAATGGTGGGAACAATCCAAATGGCCAACTGCTGAATGAGTAAACAGAATAGAGTGTTTTCCTACAGTGGGATGTTATCAGTCATAAAAAGGAATGAAGTACTGACACGTGCTACACTGTGGATGAACCTTAAAAGGAACCAGTCAAAGGTCACACTGTATGATTCTGTTTATAAGAAACTTCCAGAAGAGGCAAATCCATGGAGTAGATTAGTGAGTGGTTGCCAGGGGCTGGGAGGAGGCTGGAGAGTGATGCTAATGGTATGGGGTTTCTATGTGGGATGATGGAAATGTTCTGAAATTAGACCATGGTGACATTTGCACAACTAAAAACCACTTTGAATTTCATCTCCAAAAAGTTACTTAAGAACATGAAGTAACCATGAGGAGTTTGAGTCAGAGGCCCCAGGCCCTTTGTGCCACTGGGTGTTGGGACCCCCTGGTGCTTTCACAGCACCAACACCAGCCTGCCTGCCTCTCTTCAGCCCTTTGGGCACACCCCTTCCTCTTTCTGAGCTGGGATGGAGCTTCCCACGGGGTCAACAGAGGCCGTCTACCCAGAGCCGGACAAAGGGCTTGTTTACCTTCCAGGAGAACTGGTGCCAACAGCAGAGTTGTGATTGAGGGGAAGGCCCAGATGCCACCTGACTCACCTCTCCTTCCTGTAAACTTCAGCCTGTACCCCTCCGTCCCCAGCCTGTTACTGCCCTAAGCCACGAGAACAGGCTTGGAGACATCTCTGCCTTAGGGGAGAGTCAGAGAGTCGGTGGCCTGGGGCCAAATCATTGGTGGACCTGGAGCTGCTAATCACTCTAAACAGCAACTGATTAATTGCTGGGAAAGGCAGGTCCATTTGGGAAGTCAGTTGGGGTTGCAGACAAGATCATTGCTGAGGCCATAATAGAGACAGTGGTCCTTCTAGCCTGTGGGATTTATAGCCGTCCCAGAACTGCAGCATGACGGACAGGAGTGGGCCTGCGAGCCCTCCATTCATAGGCCTGTATCCATTTATAAGGCTGTGTATGAGTGGAGTTGGCCAGACTCCCATTCATCTCCTCTGCTGTGTCCCCAGCTGCCTACTTGCCTTTCCAGCCCCTCTTCCCCCCATCTCTCCTCCCACCCTGCTCAGTCTCCAGTGTGTTCCTGTGGAGACCAGCAGAGGCTGGAGGGGTATTTGTTAGAGCTGTCTGTTCACTTTGCTCCACTGTTGGTGTTGTTGGTTGATTCTAGATGTAATTAGCTTAAAAAAATAATATTCTGTGGCTAAAAATGAAAAGCTCAAAAGTCTGCCTTGGGGAACCCTAGGGCAGCCGAGTCTGGGTGAGGATTCAGATAACCTCTTCCTGGCTTGCCAGTGGCTGCCCTGTGAGTGCCCTCAGGGTGCAGTTGGGCTCTGGGCCCAGGCTGCAGGGTCGCCCTCCTCCTCTGTGTTGGAATGTGTATGATGGGGCTCTAGACCAGGAGGAAGGTCCTGAAGTTCATCAGGGTCCTGCTGCTCCTTCTTGATGCACTTGGGATATGTTTGGTTGAAAGACTGTTTCCAGAAGGAACTTGTCTGTCCCGATAGGACTGAGAATGTTTGGAAATCCCTGCAGTGCTAGACATAGAGCTGTTCCCGTGTGGAATTCCTTCTTCTCAGAATTGGGGGCTTCAGAGTCTTGGACACAGACTTGGACCTTGGATACCTGCTCCCCCACCTCCTCCTTTGCCCTGGATTCTTCCCAACAAACATCTGACGTTTCCTCCTCCTCTCTTTCCCACTGTTTAGGTTGCAAGATGGGAACACAAAACTCGCAAGATGAGCAAGGCCTTTGGATCCCCTTACCTGGCCTGCTATGCCCTTGGTGGTGCCATTTTGCTGTTGAACATTCTGCGTTCGCATTGGTAAGTCCTCCAGACCCATATCCACAGCACCTGAGGTGGAGGGATAGCCACTGCAGGCAGTGTTGGGGTCCATTAAGATGTGGGGCACGTTTTATCCAAACACATAGGGCACTGTGCATTTCAGGGCTCCTGTCACGGCAAGCTACCCCTCACTCCTCTGGGCAATCAGCTTCTGTCAGCAGAGGAGTCCTAGTGACTTGGGAAGGGGTCAGTGCCTGTGTCTTGGGCACAGGGGAGTGCATGAGGCTAGGTGGTCCTCAGGCTCACATCCCCACACCCAGTGTATGGAGGGAGCCATGCAGGAACCTCAGACACAGGCTGGTGTCAGCAAGCTGCTCGTCCACCTTGGGGCTTGGGAAATGTTACCTTCCATCGAAGAAAGCCCAGGTCAGCCATACTTGTTCTAGAAGCACCACCCTCAGGATCCTGGAGTGATCTCTGCTGCCCAGACCCAAGGGAGGTGAGAGAAGGAGGGTGAGAGAAGGAGGGTGAGGACTTGAGGAGGAGAGTGGGGTCCAGTCCCCAGACATGGCTGTCCCTGAGCTTTGTCTCACCACCTCAGTTCTGTGAGCGGGCAGCACACCAGCTCCACTGAATGTAACCCATGCAGTGCTTTTAAAAATGACAGCTGGCACCCGAGTCTCCTCATCTCTCTTTTGGACCAATGAGGAGCTCGGGTGGCCCACACCTGCATGTGGGAGCCACCCTTGGGGGGCCGGTGGCAGCTGCTCCTTTGGCACTGCCCTCCCCATGGCCTACATCATGCCTGAGTCCCATCTCTGGCATGTGGGACGTGGCCAGGGTGGGCATGGGTGGTGACTTGGCCCTCATACTCATATCCTGAGGATAGCGTGCCCAGCTTTCCACTCTGAGTCAGGACCCTTGCTACCCACCCTTGCCACCTCCCCACCATCAAGACAGTGTGATTAAGAGGTACCTGCCCAAGCCAGCCCTCCCTACTGGATGGATCTTTGCTGGAGTTTTGCTTCTTGGCCCTTCAGGCTGCTGTTCTCTCCTTCCTCCTCTCCAGACCAGGGTGGATGTCTCAGGTCCTTGGCCCTGACCATGGGGTGGGGGCCCGTAGCAGCTGCCCTGATTGAATGACATGAAGACACTTCTCCCGAGAGCCCTTGCGCACTACACACGGGGGCAAGGGGCTTGGCTCACGGCCTTGCTGTCTTAAGTCCCATAGCACAGCTGAGGAAAGTGAGCCTTGGCAGGAAGCAATGATTTGGGATTTGTTTAAAGTTTTAGAACTCAGAGAGCCTGATGTGGGCAGGGGATTAGCCAGCATCAGACTGGGCAGAGGCTAGGGGAAAAAAGATTTACTCCATTCATAGTGCTGGTGCGCACCGCCCGGGACTGAGCTATTGGGAGCAGGAAGTCTAGACTATGTGAAATGCTCCTCGTTCTTACAGTGGAGGGGGATTCCAGGCTGCTGTCAGCAGGGGGTCACTCAGTAGCCCATCTGAGCCTAAAACTGGGTGGAGAGACCCAGGTGCCCCCACTGCAGGTGGGAGTCTGCTTCTCCACAAGCCCTGTTCTAGTTTACCTCCTAGAGTCCCCCCAGGAGTGAGTGGAAAGGGCAGAAGGCTGGAGAGATCTCACCCCTCAACCCTGATGGAGCTGGGATCACTAGCACCTGCACACAGTCAGGAAAGGACTCAAGCTCCACAGCCCTCAGACCATTTTTAGGCCAGGCCAGGTGTCCACAAGTGGCAGCTGGTGCCCCAAGTCATGGCCACTGCCAAGCATCAGGTGTGGGCTCCTATCCAGGGTCTCCCATAGTCACAATGTTCCTTTAAGGCTGGGTACTGGAGCCCATTTTCATTGTGTGGTGGAGCCAGGGGGCTAGCTGCATCTCAGCACCGACTCCTAACTCTCCTGTGGGTCCAGTGTCTGCCCGCTCCCTTGGCCGGCTACCTCGGAGGGATCCTTGACTGTTTCCTCCCAGCTCAGTCCAGCAGCGCAGCCTGGATCCATACCTGGAATCCACCCGTGGATCTACTCTGCAATCTATACCTGGGACCACCCCTTTCTCCTCCTCTCCCTGGACCCCTAGCAGTGTCCACACGCTGCATGGCACACGGGGACCACAGAAGGAGCGTATAAGAGGGGGAGTGGGAAAGCGGGAGCAGTGACTCATATCCCAAACCTGAGGGCCTTTCTCAGCGTTCTTTCAAAACAGTTATTAGAAGGGTCCTGTTTTTCAAAATCAAAAATAAATGAAAATACTACAGGTTGTTAGTCATTAAAACTAGATTTGTTCCCCAAGAACAAAGACAAAATCGAGAGGTCTAAAAGTTAGACCTCCAGAGTCTAAAAGTTAGACTTTTACTAACGCCCCCACCTTAGCTTCCCATTTCAGGAAGAGTGACACCTAGATTCCTTACTTACCTTCAAGGGCCATTTCGGCCCCATCATCTCCCCCGGCCCCATGGCAGGCCCTCCGCCCAGACCCCTTCCCACCCTTCTTGGGCTTCTCCTTGTGTGCTGGTTCTGCGTCCATAGTGCCTCCTAGAGCGCCCTCCCCGACTACAGCACGCACAGAGGTGGGGCGACCAGCAGAGCCCTTAACACCAGGCTCATCCTGCTGTTGCTCCTAACTCGAGACCCACCTTCCTCAGACTGTGACCCGCAGGAGAGTTGGATCATGTCTGTCCTGCTGGCCAGCTTATCCCCGGAGCTGGAGGCCCTGCCTGGCTCGGGGGCCATCAGGGAGCACTCAGGCTAAATGCAGAGTGGAAGGAGCCTGCCCTGGGAATGTGGGAGCCCCATTCGAGCCCAGCTGACCCCTGATAGAAGGAGGTCACCAGATGACTGGGAGGCTCCACTGGTCTCTGTAAACACTGGCCAGTGCTCCAGAGCGTAAACAAATCCCTGCCTTCTCCCCCACCTCTTCCTCCTGCCAGGTTCTCCCTGGGGGCAGTGGCCACATGGGGCGCTGTGCCTGTCCTGCCCACCGTGGTCTCCTAGTATTAGTGTTCCTAGTTGACCAGCCCAGGAGGGCACATGCTGTAGCCCTGACTTCTGGTTCACATGACAGGCAGGTACCCCTCCTCAAGGAGCTTCGACACCCCGCCCCTATAAGAGAGGATGCAGATTGGATGGGGCAGGGTGTGCCCCTTGCTGCTGCTCAGGGGGTGAGCTGCCCTGGAAGTCCTCCAGCCCAGCAGCACCCTCTCCTTAGCTGAAACAGTTTACAGATTTAAACTGATCCCCTTGGAGAGAAGAGTACTGGGGAGGGGTGGCATGGGGAAGCAACGTGCATGCCCTCCCTCTCTCTGCCTGTTTGTCCCCCTCCCCTGGGACCTTCCTTGTCTGTTTCTTGATGCCCTTTGGGAAACGACCTCTACTTAAACCCTGTCTACACAATGTGCCACGGTCCTTGGCACTGGGAGGGGGCTGTTGTGGAGCCACGTAGGGACACACCATTCTCCTAGCCCGTTGCTTCCAGCCCGTCACTGACCTGCAGCCAGGGGTGCCCCTGCCTAGATCCCTGCTCCGGTTTCTGACTGGCATGTGACCTGGGCCAAAGAGGACCCCTATGAAATGGGGCGGGGGCTGCACACAGCCCCAGTAAACCTTCAGTGACCCAGCCTGGGTGGGACTTAGAGCTGGGGTAGGGTCAGGGTTGGGGTGGGGTGGCAGCTGGGAGGATGGGTTGATAAGGCAGTGGGGTCAGGCAGCATCTGTGATATCGTAAGAAAGAGGGATGTGGGGGCCTCCCCGCTGTCGCAGCGGTTGAGCGCTGGGTTGCGAAGCTGCCCGCATCCTCTGCTGCGCTGGTTCGATCCCCGGCTGCTCCCCTGCCACTGGCGGAGGATCCCACATGGCACACAGACCTCTCCTGCCGCCCGCTGCTCCCCTCAGCAGTGTACTTCGGTCCTTCTGCCTGCTCTGCTCCCCGCTCTGGCTCTGGTGAATTCTCTCACCCTCCCACGCTTCTGACTGTGCCCAGTGCTTAAATAAATAAATAAATCTTGGGGGGGGGGGAAGAAAGAGGAATGTGTTCCAAGGGTTTCCTAGCAGAGATGTGAATTAATCAACCAAATCAACCCAGCTTTCCTGACCAGCCTCATGCCAGCACTGTCCTGCCTTCACTTTGGGTTCCCACCTCAAGAAGGAGTCCCCTCACTGGGGGTGCCAAATGCAGAGAGAAGTGAGTCCTGTATGACCTTGAGAACTGAGGGGTGGGGTGGGAAGAGGATGTCCCCTCCAAAGCAGGAGCAGCCCGGCAGCTGGCCTCCAGGACAGGCCCTTTGTGCGAGCACCCTGGTCTGCCAGGTTGGCTGCTGAACACATTTAGGGTGTGTATGCTGCCTCCTCTTTAAGTGGGGTCTGTTGCACAATTACTGTCTTAAAACTCAGCTGGTGGAGAGACCAAAACAGCCTCTTCCTTTGTTTCCCAGGCCCCAGCCCCTGAGCCCAATTAGTTACTCTTCAGCTTAATGAGCTTTTCCTTGTTTCCTCCCATGAGCCGTGGCCCACAGGGCTGGCAGACATGCAGCCCTGTCCTGAGTACATGAGCGAGCGAATGAGTGAGGGAACAAATGAGTGGCTGTTTGGACTCCCATAGCCCCTTTCTCTCTGGGGCATTCAAAGGGCCAGATAGTAAATATTTTGACTCTGGGTCACATGGTCTCTACAACTGTCAGAGGCATTCAAACTTTCTCGACATGCTAACCTCTTCAGGATCCAGAACCTGCCACTTTTCCCTTCAAATACTGTATTGTTTTGGGTCTGTACAAGTCTGAGTTCTTGGTTTCCTGAGTTCAAAATGAGAAAAACCTTGTTTCTCGAGTATTTGCTAGTCTAGATTCCCTACCGGTTCCTAGCAGCTGGGAGCCTGGTGTTGGAGGCCTGCTCTGCAGATGGGCTGACCCCAGGCAGGCAGCCGTGTCCAGGCCAGCAACCCAGAGGGGCAAGGGGATGACCAGCTGGGCCTTCTTTTCTGGGTCAAGCAGACTCTCTTGCGGCCCTGACTGGGGCCTCTGCCA